CTTCTGAGACTTGCTGTAATTTGATTGGTCTATTGAATGTTTGACATCACGGCTGACATCAAAAAATATATTTCAATAGTGGATTTACACAATATTTTTCTCTTGAACCGTTGTTAGGAATTTAATGCAAATATGTCTTGTAGTTACAAATGTAAGGTATAATATTTATAAAGCCACATATACATAAGACAATATTTCCCAATGTCAATTCTTCAAAGGCTTGGAACAAATAAAAATTACTATATTTGTTTAACCTTTTCACCACCGGTTCCCTCTTTTCTTCACAAATTCAAAAATAGTTTCGTTTATAGTCTGCAAAAACAGCCAATATTTTTTTGAGTAAAACAATTAAAATTGACTTAAATTTCGTCTGTTGGCTAAAAATTAAGGTAAATTGAACTATATCAGAAAAAAAGTGCATGAAAATTTGGGCAAGAAAGCCTGGTGGTGTAAAGGTTAATAAATATGACATTGTGGGGAGACTCATTTGTTTATTTATTACTTATTTACTTGTTACAGGATAATTGTCGCAGCACTACAGCTAATGACACAATAGGTAGTACTGATGCCATGCTGGCTTCTCTGGATCCAGAGTTAGGACGCAGAAAACAACAGTTAACACAAGAATATCATACACTTCTTAACAGGTAGGAATGATATTCCCAAATTATGTTCACTTGTGGAATTTAAACTGCAACAAACTGAATGTATCACTTCAGCTATTAGAGTTTACAGAATATGGGGTAAGTATGCATGCTGGGATTTTATTTTAAAAGCTAATTTGCATATTTTTGGTTTTTTACTAATTTAATTTATAATTATATATATATATATATATATATATATATATATATAATTATATATATATTATATATAATTATATATAATTAATTAATTATATATAATTATAATTAATTATATATAATTATAATAATTTTTTGTTTGAGATTAGGTACATTCAGCATTTATTGTCCATATAATTCTGAAAGTGTTGATGTTGTTTTCTTTACAGATGTCGCCAGTTAAAACAATTGGATTCCTCTTTTGACAGGGACAGAGAGTTAGATGATTTAGTTGAGGTATGGTATTTAATTTCCACAAATTCATGTAATCTTGAATTTATTTCCCACTACCTCGGTAACATGTGTAAGATTGTTAATGCCAATTGTATAACCCAGTATATTCAAGTTGGAGTAAACCAGTATACATGTGCCCATTGACTGGCCATCAGAGCTACAGCATATGTATGTCCCCCTGAAGGGTGCCCCTATATTATTCTGAAGTCATCACCAACTGGAGGGGATGAAACACATACCCAAGCAGGACAGATGTATACTGTTGCCCTGTTTTCCAGTCGCTGGGTATTAAATCTGCTCAGTCTAGGAGTTAATTCAGTCAGTAAAGTAATGCATAAGGCTTTTGCTTAGGTTTAAGGTTTGATGTGAACTCTTGCTGGAGACAAACTGACAATTTCTCTGTATTGATGTTGTTTGCTGAATTAAACACAGACGTCTTGTTTTTTTTTGTTTTTGTTTTTTTTTTACATTTTTTGTGCCACGCAATAGTTACCGACATTGAATGTCACTGTTGTCTCTCTTGACTTTCGTTTTGTATGTGCAAATTGCAGACATCTTGTTTACAAACAGTTCATTTTCTCTGAAAATTTCTAATGTATGATTTTGAATGTCAAAGAAATAGGGAGAACAACATGTCATTCACAATCACTTGCTTAAAAACAAATATGCTGTGTTTGCTTTGTTAGAAGCATACATATATAAATGACATGTTAGTTTTTTGTGACCCTTTCTGTTTATTCACTGTAAAAGTCAATGACGACGCAACTAATTTCATAATTTTATTTTCCCTCAACGACGTAATATCCCCCTCAATCTGTCACATGGTGAATTAAAATTGTCATTTGCACTCTTTTCCAAGGGGGTGCTCGGGTAAGCACTCACCCCTATAAAAATCATGATTTTCTCAGTTGAGGACCCTGAATGCTAACGTGGATGAATACGGTAAAATCTATTTGCGTCAATGGAACATATGCTAATGCTAATGGACCAAACATGGTATTATGTGATATTACTATTGTTCTCTCTAATGTCTTTATTGTTACTTTCCGACAGCATTTACGTAATCTACATAATGAGAACCCTGATTTATTTGGTCATGAGTTGCCACCAGAGATACGAGACAGAGAAGGAGGTAATGATTATGGTTGTTTCTCTAAAACGCTAAATTGTCAAATTTTACCTGAACCATTGTGAGCAAAACAATCAGTATTGTAATTAGCATGGCATTGGGTGAAATCTGAGATTTAACCTTTTCACCACCAGTTTCTCTTTTCATAACAAATTCACAAAATAGTCCTGTTCATAGTTTGCATTTTTTTTCAAAAGATTGGGACAAAAATAGCCAAATTTTTGGAGTTCATTTCCAGAAATATTGAAGAATATAAAAACAAAGTGCAGAAAAATTTGGTCGAAAAAATCTGATGGTGAAAAAGTGTTTTTTAAATAAGCTATCAGATGATGAAAATGACATTTAGAAAATGTAATGTCATGTCATGTATTTTCGGAAATGTGTGTTTTTTGTGATTCAATTAGCCTGAAAACTTGATTTTGTTCTATCTGGTTTTGTCCAAAACATCAAGATTAAAACACTGTTGGTATAAATTTATTTTTGCTGTTTTTTGATCCAAAAATCTATAAAAATTTATTATTTTGATGGTGTACACAAGTTATTTTATGTAAGTTTTAACCTGGTACATACATTTTTATTGTTCTGTTGAAGATATCACAAAATGTAGACATTGTTCAAAGGAAAGACACAACATGTTATGTATTTGAAAATTTCACAACAATCAAGCAAGGGGTTCCCCAAAAATATAAATTATTAGCTAATTTGCATAATCACCATCTTTGTGCCAGAATTGCTATATCGTATTTTTATATGGCCCATTTTTTTCAATGTCTAGCTATAACTTGTGTATATTAAACTGTGTGTTTTGAGTGTGTTCTAACTGAAAATATATGTCCTTTTCAAAAAGTAAAAAAATAATTAGATTTAATCAAACATTTCCTAAAAAGTGCATCCCACCCTTAAGTGTGTCGTAATATTTGTACCATATTTTGTCAGTCTGTTCATCTATCTGTTTGAATGTGGACAACATCTTATCAAAACTAGATCACTAAACATTCTGTTTAAATCCCTTTTATTGACCTAGGTTCATCGGTGTTACCAGATAGATTTTTCAGTGCTAGTAATCCAAATATTTATATTGATCACCTTCCTGAACCTGAGTTATATGCACCATTATCAGAGCCATCGCTGTTCTCTACCAACCATGATCCTATACGCTATTCAAATTATCAGGTATGTACTTGTATGTGACACCCTCACACCTGTCAATGCTACTACCACCCATACGTTTTTGGTTTGAACAGGTTTGAGATCTTTGGAAGATTCCTTCATAAATAGTTATTAAAATGACTTTATAAATCAATATAATGTTACATACCGATATCAACCACTATATTGTCTGAAATGACTTTATGATTTAGTATAATGTAACATATTAACCACTTTATTGTCTGAAATGACTTTATGATTTAGTATAATGTTATATATTAACAACTGTATTGTATAAAATCACTCAATAAATCAATATAATGTTATATATTAACCACTATATTGTCTGCTTTCTGAGTTTCCAAAGTTGTCTGCAAGAGATTAACTTTACTTCTCTCAGACTTTCATGGAGGTACAGCTTTGGTTTGTCCCTATCTTTGAATTGTCTTTTTTTTTCACTTTCAGAGCTCTGATAGTTTGCAAGAGTCACCTGATTCCAGCCCTGAAATACGAAGAAGAACAAGTAAGTATAAGATTTTTATTTTTTTTTCATTAACACCACCACCAGTTATTTAATGGCATGAAAAACTATAGCATTCAGCTGTCCTTGACACTTTTCTGCTTATGTCTCATGTGACAACATAGTGTGGGCAGATATAGATTCTCGTCAATAAATGCCGCCAACCGTTAATGATAATGATGATTATGTCGTCAAAAATGTTTTCACTAAATTATTACTAGAAGTTAGGAAAAAGATAATAATAAGTTTTCAAGAGAATATAGAAAAGTATGCACTTGGGCAGTACAGGATCACATCAACCTACTCTGTGTCACTCAACATAATCACTGTAATGCTGTGATGCATACTTTGTTGTATTATCTTGATAACCTCATTTCACTATACACAATCATTGACACATATGGATGCCATATTAACATAAATTAATGCATACATAATTTTGGAAAATGATTTTGGCAGTTGGTCATTCATGGCATTTCTGCTCAAATAGCTATTGTTAAAGTCAAAACCAGGTAGAATATTCATTGTATTGTATTACTGTCATTTGCAAATGTTGTTTTGTGCGGTATATTTTTGTATTTACGTATGTGACACAGTCGGCTGAGCATCAAATGAACTTTGGTCGTATGGTTGATTAATAGCCAACCAAAAATCACAAACTTCCTCTAAGACTTTGTAGTTAGTACACTATAAAATTTTTGCTGAATTAAAGAACCAGAAAACATGATTCTAAAATGTGTAGGTCGTTTTTGCTCTGTCTTCCGTGAAATTAAGGATGAAATATAGGCAAACTAGTTTTACAGCAACTGCGATCAGATATGTAAATTAGTTTTATAATGTAATATGCAACTCAAATACATCGTATAATTTTTTTATGCATGTCATTGTTATTGTGGGTCATGGTTATTATGGGTCAAATATTTTATTTCTGGCTTGAAAACACCAATTGGTATATACATATAAGATAAAAATGCACATTTACACATTCCTCTGTTTGACTAGACACAGTTTTGAATTCTTTTTGTCAAAAGAAATCGGAAACCTATAGCTGCGAATGAAATCTTGCACAGTTTCACAATTCTTATTTTCTCTTCTCCGATGTCAATGAACGACCCCAATCGAAGTTGAAAGTTGCGTGAGAACGTGACCTTGTTGTCACATTGATACATTGTAGCAAGTCTCGCTATGAATGTAAACAATGTCATCGTCGGTGTTCAAGTTTCGCTGTTGCACATCCTAGCCAAAATAAGAAGAAAAAAACATGATCACTGGCAATGGTAGCAACACATGAATACATGTATGTGACTCGAAACTAACCATTTCCCTTACAATAAAAAAAATAGTACGACCCAGTGATCGATCCAAGCCGCTGTTGCCTATGAGGTCATGAGGTGTTTTGTTTCACCGATCGTTCAGAGAGCAGGTTTAGAATTACAGTAGAACAAAATACAGCCGAAAATATTTATTAACTCCACGCAACATGATTTATATCTGTGAATATATTTATTGAACATTGCAGTATAGACCACATCACTCTAGAAGGAACTTATCTGCATACAAATTAGAATACTAAGCACTGCCATCACATGTCGTTCTTTAATAGTGGATAAAAGGTGGATTTCTTGTTTGATCTAATTCATCTATTTATTTTTACAGGTTATGGTTCTAGTCGCATTCCCACTTGGTCAGGACGGGGAACACCAAATTCATCTCCAGAAATGATCCCAAAATCTCAATATTCCGGCAGATCCACACCAAATTTGTCAAAACAACAAAGTTCTTTGGATTATAACCGTAATCAGAAATATTCTGCACAGAGGAACCCACTAGAGGGCGATATAGACAGTGGTTTTGTTGGCTCTGAGGGCAGCAGACATAGCAATCAGACTAGCATATCAGGATATGGGCGTAAAGATAGGTAAGTGAAATACTGCCCTCATGTGCCGGGATATCTGGCTTTTCAATTAAAGGAAACAAGAAATGAAGCGATTATTTTGTTACTTTGTCACAGTGATAATACCACGGCATTATATGCTTCTAAATACATACAGATCTGGTTATTCGTATTCAACAATTATACCATCACAAACACCGTCATTGTACAGTCGACAGTCACCAGCATCAGTACGTGAAAGCCATCGTGCTTCAGTGACATCACAGTCACACAAATGGACAGAAAGCGAGGATGACATGAGCTATACTACAGGCAACGGAAGGTCAGTGCAGTCCTATGATACCGTAGAGAAATCATCACGACGAGGTTCATCAAAACAGAGAAAGTCACCTGCTAGTATTAGTAGTGTTGGTGAGTTTTACTTCCTTTTCTATATTCTGAACACTGTACCAATATAACAACTTTCAGATGTAAATATTATTCTTATTTATATTTATTCATATGCTGCTATTTGTTTCAGTGACAGATGCTTCTAGGCCGAGACGTCCTACGTCTGGCAGGTCTAGAGATAGCATTGCATCTAGCAGAGTGGCTCCAAGTTATTACAGTACTGAAGAAGAAGACAAGGCATCAAGGCAAGGTGCTCTTACACAAAGAATACTGAGAGATAAGGAAGTTGAGAGGTGGGCAGATCCTGTTCAAAAAAGAGACAAATTTGATTCTGCATCTGTGGTTTCTAGGAGTAGTGTTAAGAGTGAGGCAATAAGAGCACTTCATGATGAGGTTCAGAAATTGAAGAGAGACATGGTCCGTGCAAGACATCCTCCTTTACAGGAAGAACTGAAAGCTCAGAGCTATGAAATGCCAAACTATGAAAAACCAACAGTTGAGAGAGAAAGGTCTTTTACAACCCCAAATGGCAGCACTAGATCTTTGTATGAAAAGGAACGACCTTCTCGACACAATCAAAGACAGGGTTCATCTCCACCACGTGAAGCATATCAGCGTCGGTCATCTTCTTCTAGCAGGTGTTCAGTAGAGATAGGTCACCACATGAGAGACGAAGGCGTTCTCAGAGTGCTGATAGAGTAAGATCTCGTAGTGCAATGCATGATGATTTGC